TAACAGCACGAATGTATAAAATGTTTAAACATGGCAGAACTTAATCAGAGGGTCCTGACGAGTATGCCATGTTGAATTACAACTCTACACAAGTCTTTTTTTTACACTTTCCTGTGATGGTAACTATCTGGTTAGCCTGTAGCCACATCTACACTGACATTTTATGCAGTTTCCCAATGCAGTTTAATGGCATTGAACTGAATTATACGAGTCTACACTGACTATATAATGCAATTCCAAACTGCATTATATGGCAGTGTAGATGGGGCCTATCTCTCAACAACTACCAGGTTTAACCCAATCTCCTGTTACATTTCTTGCTTTGAGGTATTTAAGGTTTCTCTCCAAATACTGGCCAATTTCTTATTAGAATTCATGGATAGATGTGTCTCCAGTTCCGTGAACATGTGTGATATATGGTGTCACGGAACTCCCGGGTCGGCAGTTAAAACGCTAGGAAATTTGCAAACCTTCCTTCCCCCCTCTTTAAAAAAAAAAAGTCAAAGGCGATGGCCAAGGACAAACCAACGGCATGGAATCCCAGTCCATGAAAGTTACCAGGCAACATTTATCTTGCTTCTTGGGACAGCTTTGCATGAATATTTAACAGCCGGAAAATTTCAGCCTACATGGAGGTGGCTCCAACTCATGTCAGCGAGACGTGACACATTATCAGGGACAATAATGTCATTGCGATGACCTACAAGCGCTGTCTTTGGGTCGTTTAGGATTCTGCAGCAAGCGAGACCTGTCTGGTAGGGCAACTCCCTCCGACAGCCTCCATCACAATGTGAAATGAACAAACTGACAAACAAACACCAGCTACATTGTAAGAGAAAGAAGGAATGGCTATATGGATGGATCTCTCTCTTCCTCCCACCCAACATAAACCACTTTTCTTGCTTTGCCAGGGAACATGGTGTTAGTATTTGCCTTATCTGGTACTAGGAATAGCTAAAAAAGGAGGATTAACTGCACAGGAGTGGGGCAAAATGTGAGACTTTTCCTGGGACAAGGACCAGAGATGGAATTGGTCAAGACAGTTTTTTTCCAGCCAGGATTATAGCAATTTTAAAATGTGGTTGTTGTACATGACCATGGAAGGAGGCAAGTATTGTCTCCTGATGTTTCGCCTGCATCTATGGCAGGTATCCTCAGAGATTGTGAGGTCCTCACAACCTCTGAGGATGCCTGCCATAGATGCAGGTGAAACATCAGGAGACAATGCTTCTAGAACATGGCCATACAGCCCGAAAAACCTACACTAGTGGTTCTCAACCTGGGGTCCCCAGATGTTTTTGGCCTACAATTCCCAGAAATCCTAACAGCTGGTAAACTGGGATTTCTGGGAGTTGTAGGCCAAAAACATCTGGGGACCCAAGGTTGAGAAGCACTGACCTACAACAATCCAGTGATTCCAGCCATGAAAGCCTTCGACAATACATTAAAACGTCCTCCTTATCCATTGCTTCTATATACTCAGGAAAGCAGTGGTCCACATATTAGAAATAATGCTGCTTCGTTAGGAAGTGCAGTGATGGCAAGAAGCCATTCTTCTGAGGCCTTAGGGGCCTACTTTGTTTGACCCACAAGTCCAGACTACTCTTGGCAGTTCCAACTGGAGCAGATCCACTGAATCAAGCATTGACTGTTTAGTCAACATGGATATAAATCTCATGTATTCCATGAGTAAACTTTAGTTGGGATTACCAGGAGAATTGAATCTTTGGAATCCCAGTGCCAGTTAAGCCAAGCTCATGCCCTGCTTTCTTCTGGGACACTGAATTGATGGTATCTTCTTTAGCTGCACAGTTAAAGTGCATCCAATACTTCTGGCCTTCTAGACCAGATGTGGGCAACTATTAGACAAGTGGTTCTCAACCTGAGTCCCCAGATGTTTTGGCCTTCAACTCCCAGAAATCCTAACAACTGGTAAACTCGCTGGGATTTCTGTTGAGTTGTAGGCCAAAACACCTGGGGACCCACAGGTTGAGAACCACTGTATTAGGATGTTGGTGCTTCATTGGCTTACTAGGAGAGCTCTGAGGGCCTTCACTCCATGGAACATGGCTGCAAAAACATTCCAGTGGGTTGTAATTTTTTTGGGGTTGTATGGCCATGCTTTAGAAGCATCTCTCCTGACATTTTGCTTGCATCTATGGAAGGCATCCTCAGAGGTTGTGAGGTCACAACCTCTGAGGATGCCTGCCATAGATCCAGGTGAAACATTAGGAGAAAATGCTTCTAGAACATGACCATACAGCCCGAAAAACCTACAACAACCCAGTGATTCCAGCCATAAAAGCCTTTGACAATACAAAAAACATTCCAATTTCTTGTCGCCCAACACCTTCTACCTTCCTATTAACAATATTTTACAATAGGAAATGATCCAGAAATCTACTTCTGGTTGGTTGAAAAAAAAGATGTGTAAAGGAATAAAGCATCGCAGGATTGCCCCAAACCTAGAAAAATTGCCTCCTTCCATGGTCATGTAGGTCTTCTGCTGATTTTTATGGTAGCAGTATTAAATTTTCTTTAAATTTTTAAAATCAAAATTGTACGAAACAGGCAGGGGAGCTACATGTGGCCTGTACTTTCCTTACTCTTGCTCTAGATTACCTTGTGAATTAAAAGTCTCCAACCTCCATGCATCTCCAGCAGTTATCATGATGGACTAACCTGGCAGTGTGATATTGATGGAGCACATGACTGCATGAAAAATGAAGGGTGAGAGCACCATGTGGGGTTACGTATTTCCTTGGCCCACCCTTTGTGTGAGTCAGCACTTGGAATGGAGCCCATGATTCTTCTCCACCCGAGACAAATATCCAAATGCTTCATCCTCACTCTTTGGAACTAACCCTAGTTTACATGGTTACCTATATTCAGAAGAGTGGATTTTATTTAATTTGACTACAGGCTGGATTGGGTCCAGTGATGTCATGATGCAACTATTTTCTCAAAAGGTTGATGTATTCCATATAATTGGCCATATATTTCACAGACTGGAGAGAAATATGAAATTAGGATTCTGAGGATTTTTTTTCCAAGTATAGCTTGCGCATTTATCAATATGTGTCTCTATGTGTGTTTGCAGATGCTAATATGCTTTATTCTCACAAAGCGTATTAGCATCTGGGCTCTATTCCTTCGGTTCACCTGCTATCGGTTTCTACAGCTTTCTACTCTTCCAACTGCTCCAAAATGTATAGCCTGTTCTCTTTGGAAACCTCAGTCTTCGAAGGGGAAAGTGCTTTGCAAAACACAGAGATGTAGACCAATTTGCATAACACTATTTGACAGAAGAATTTGGGTTTCCGTGGCACAGAACTGGGTTATACTCGTGGGATTTCTTTGTACAATGCTGTTATGAATGGCTGTTCTACATTTAGGCATTGTGTTGTGAATCACCCTCCAGTTGTTGTTGGTTTTTTTTTTTACATTTTCTCAGCATCATGCTTTAAGTTTGGTTTTTGGCAATACCAACAGCAAGATCACATAAATTCCAAAGAGACACTTGTTTTCCCCATGGCCAAGGCTCCTTCCTGCAATATATTATCTGGAGTTAAACAAAGCAATGTTTTTGCTCAGTAAAATCCCCAAATAGATATGGTTTTGTAGACATGTGGAATGTCTCTTCATGGTTTTCCTTTTTCAGATCTTGGTTTGATAGTGGTGGGCATGTATTACCTTTTTTTCTATCAGGAAAAAGAGGAAACCACTCAGTGTCTTTTCAAGTTGAGAGAGACAAATAAAGACCTCACAGCCTCTGGGATGCCTGCCATAGATGCAGGCGAAACGTCAGGAGAGAATACTTCTGGAACATAGCCATACAGCTTGAAAAACTTACAGCAACCCAAACAAAGGAGAGATTTGGATCTGGAAAACAGGCCACTAAGAACAAGTTAAGAACGTCGCCTCCTTTGCTACAATTAAATTTGGTGCCCTGCAAAACCCCATTTCCAGTATCTTCAAAAAATAATAACAAAGCCTTGTCGAAGGCTTTCATGGCTGGAATCACTCAGTTCTTGTGGGTTTTTTCAGGCTATATGGCCATGTTCTAGAGGCATTTCTCCTGACGTTTCGTCAGGAGAAATGCCTCTAGAACATGGCCATATAGCCCGAAAAAACCCACAAGAATTGAATAACAAAGCCACTGTGAGATTCTCCAAGTATCTTCCTCTTCAACATCTATTTTGGTTGTTATGTACATTATTCTTTGGAGGAACTGGGAACCTTTCACCACGAACGACGAGCCTACTGCTAGAAAGTTGTCATTTTCTCCTAAGAGAAGAGAAGAGCTTGCATCTTTGAAAGATGATTGTTTAAGACACTTGACCTGGTGTACAGAAATACTATATATTTAAGGAGGTTGACCATTGACACATTTACATCATTGGTGCTTCCCACCAAACAGCCTGTGCAAGGAAAATCATTCTAATCGAGTGTGAACCTCCCCCATCCCCAACCTCCCACCTCAGATAGCTGTAAAGGGGGGAGGGGGGGGGGTCGAACTAAAAAAAAAAAGGGGGGGAGAGATTTTGCAGTGATACATACTCTGTCGCACTCATATGCACAAAAACAAAACAAAACAAAAATCGAACCGGTGAACAAAATAGCCTATTGTAGTAAAAAAGACCCCTTTAAAAAAAATAAAAAAGATTATTCCATCTTGGAAAGGGAAAGACTCCTTATCTCACAAGTCTATAAGATGCAGCTATTTTGCCTCCTTCGTCCACTTCTGAGCCACAGGATTGCCCAGAAACGGTGTGAAATGACCAGCAAGTTCTCATAATTATTTGGAAGGATCTCATTAAGAAGATTTAAAACAGTCTCCAGCTTTTTCTTCTCTTCCTCTCTTTCCTTTTGTTGATTGTATGCACTGCAGGATGTTGTGAGCTTGCCTTTCCCCTTCCTGGAAATCCTTTATTCCTTTTCCAACCCGAGGACGAAGAGTTCGGCACAAACCTAATACAGAGACCCTTTTCCTCAACACATTAAGAAACCTATGGATTTATTTGGACATTGCCCTGATTTTCTCTGAACAGTACACAAGGGGAAGGAAGGAAGGACAAAAAGAGACACAGGATTTCACTGTACTGACGCAACAGCGAAATACACTTTTTTTGGTCCTGTGGGGTTGGGGATGATAACAGATGAGAAAGCCAGATTTTGTTTTAAAAAATAAGAAAAGGATGTGGCATGGGTTACAGTGCAACTGTATTATCACTCCACCCCAACCTTGTTCCTCATCATTTCTGTTCTTGTTGTGTGTATGTGTGTGTGTTTATTAAAAAAGGATTGGATACAACACAGTCTGGTAGGCGGCCACAAAAGAGTAGCTGTCTTTGGCAAAGAAGTCAACGCATCGACCCTCTCTGTCACCTTCTGCCCATCTCGCTCTGTCTCATAAAATGGATGTTGTTTGCGTTGTCTGAGAGTTCGGGATACTGCTCCACTGAGATCACAAAGTAGCCGTCATAGCCCTGCACCCGCCCCGTGTTCAGGAGCTGCTGCTTCTCCCCTTCTGTCCAGGAGCGGGTGCCCTCCTCCCCGTCCCGTAGTCTCTGCTGCTCCCGGGACCACGCTTGGGCCACGGCACGTTGCCTGGCCAGTTCCAGCACACGGGTCTTCTCCTCGTCCAGAGTGGTCCCGTAACGGGTGTTCAGACTCAGCGCTCCGTACTGGAGCTGGATGTCCGTGTAACGTCTAGTCCTTCCATTGAGCACCGTGTTGATTTGGGAGACGGTGACGTTGACGCCGTTTTCCAAGGTTCTCCTTCCACCGCTGAGGCCAAGGATGGACAAGTCGCTGTCCGAAGGCCCTTGCTTGACGAAATAGTGGGTGTCCATGCCCTCAATCGTGAAGTACAAGTTCTCCAGGTAGTGAGCGTTGTTCAATATGGCAGCGATCCTTCGCCCATCCTCGTTCGCGGTGCTGATGATGTCGGTGGACACCCTCCCGTCTTTCATGGCGAATTTGACCCCCTTGCCGATGACGGAGCCACCCGAAGCAAAGTTGTTGTCCCCCTTGACTTCATGGCACCCGGCGATGCTGGAGCTGTAGATCTGCTCAAAGCGCTCCAAGGTGACAAAGGCCTTCAGCTGCTTCTGGACTTCACACTGCACTCCCAAGATCGACTGAGGAGCAAGAAAGACAAGGAAAGTGAGACGCATGTTAGCAAAAGATGAAGTTTGAAACAAAAGAATAATTCAGTGGCACCTTAAAGGCTGCTCTTCCAATGGCATAGGCTTTTATTGGCTAATTTTATTACCTTATATACTTGAGTATAAGCCCACCCGAATACAAGCCAAGGCACCCAATTTTACTACAAAAAACTGGGGAAACGTACTGACTCGAGTATAAACCAAGAGTGGGAAATGCAGCAGCTATTGGTAAATTTCAAAATAAAAATAGATACCAATAAAATTACATTGAGGCACCAGTACATTAAATGTTTTTGAATATTTACATAAAACCGTAGTTTAAGATACAACTGTACAACTTGGATTAAACCATTGTTTCGACATTCTACAATGTAAATATACAATGTAAGGAAGGCTGAGAGGAGATAGGATAGCCATGTATAAATATGTGAGAGGAAGCCACTGGGAGGAGGGAGCAAGCCTGTTTTCTGCTTCCTTGGAGACTAGGACACGAAACAATGGCTTCAAACTACAAGAGAGGAGATTCCATCTGAACATGAGGAAGAACTTCCTGACTGTGAGAGCCGTTCAGCAGTGGAACTCTCTGCCCCGGAGTGTGGTGGAGGCTCCTTCTTTGGAAGCTTTTAAACAGAGGCTGGATGGCCATCTGTCAGGGGTGCTTTGAATGCAATATTCCTGCTTCTTGGCAGAATGGGGTTGGACTAGATGGCCCATGAGTCTCTTACAACTCTTTGATTCTATGATTCTATGCTTATGTATCCTTCCAATAATAATAAAGAGAATAAAATGATGGAAATGTAATAATAACAGTACTAAAAGAATAAAATAATAAATGTAATAACAATAATAATAAAGTAAAATAATAAATTTAATAATAATAGAATAAAATAATAGAGTAAAATAATGTAAATATAATAATAGAGTAAAATAAGAAATGTAATATAAATAGTAATAACATGGGTAAAATAATTAATAATTTTGTCTTGAGTATAAGCTGAGGGAGGCTTTTTCAGCCTAAAAAAGGGCTGAAAAACTCAGCTTATACTCGAGTATATATAGCACTTGTTTATTAAAATAAATTGAAATCCCGCCTTTCTCCTAGCACAGCGTTTCTCAGCCTAGGGGAGTCACGGGGGGGGGGGGGGGGGGGGGGGGGGGGGGGAGTGTCAGAAGGGTCACCAAAGACAACATAGTATTTTCTGTTGGTCATAGGGGGTTATATGTAAGATGCTTGGCCCAATTCTGTCATTGATGGAGTTCAGAATGCTCTTTGATTGTAGGTGAACTGTAAATCACAGCAACTACAACCCCAAAATGCCAAGGTCTATTTTCCCCAAACTCCATCAGTGTTCACATTTGGGCATACTGAACATTCATGCCAAGTTTGGTCTAGATTTATCATTGTTTGAGTCCACAGTGCTCTCTGGATGTAGATGAACTACAACTCCAAAACTCAAGGTCAGTGCCCACCAAACCCTTCCAGTATTTTCTGTTGGTCAAAGGAGTTCCAAGACTGGTTCAATTCCGTCATTGGTGGAGTTCAGAATGCTCTTTGATTGTAGTTGAACTATAAATCCCAGCAACTACAACTCCTAAATGGCAAGGTCCCCCCCCTCCCCCAAATCCACCAGTGTTCACATTTGGGCATACTGAGTATTTGGGCTAAGTTTGGTCCAGATCTAACATTGTTTGAGTCCATGGTGCTCTCTGGATGTAGGTGATCTACAACTCCAAAACTCAAGGTCAGTGCGCACCAAATCCTTCCAGTATTTTCTGTGGGTCACGGGAGTTTTGTGTGCCAAGTTTGGTTCAATTCCTTTATTGGTGGAGTTCAGAATGCTCTTTGATTGTAGGTGAACTATAAATCCCAGAAAGTACAACTCCCAAATGACAAAATCAATCCCCCCACCCCACCTGTAGACAAATTTAGGCATATTGGGTATTTGTGCCAGATTTGGTCCAGTGAATGAAAACCCATCCTGCATATCAGATATTTACATTACAGTTCATAACAGTAGCAAAATTACAGTTATGAAGTAGCAACAAAAATAATGTTATGTTTGGGGGTCACCACAACATGAGGAACTGAATTAAGGGGTCACGGCATTAGGAAGGTTCAGAAACACTGTCCTAGCAGATGGAAACATGATGAACAATTACAGTGTTTGGTTGTTCAGTTTGCTCATAGTAAGAGAAAACGTTTTTCAACCAAGACAGCCATACAAGGGGAAATAACCTACCCCTTGATCATAAACCGTAACCCCGAAAGGAATTCAGGTTCTATTTGTTTATCTTCTTTTTCATGGATGTCAAAAGCCAGCCATGTTTTCTGAACAACTCTGAGCGGGACATCCCTGGAGTGTTCCCAGCCCCATTGCCAAGGGTATCAATATGTGCGATGTAATGTTATCAAAAAGGACTGGCATAATCATAATTAAAAAAACACCCTCCTCCATTATCTCAAAATAAGTCTTGTGCCTTTGAAAAGCTGCTTAATTTTAAGATCTAATGACCTTGAATACATCCTTTTAATGATAAAAGAATATATTTGGGAAGGCTGCTTTTCTTCTGTAGGGGGGAAACAACTTGTGGATGGTCTGGCTGCGAAAATAAAAGGAAGGGACGGCAACCAGATTATGCATAGTTCAAAAAGGCCTGCCTTTGAAATTGATTATCTATTCTGTTTCATCTTCCAGGATGCATTTTCTGAGAGAAACTCGCAAAGAAGAGAAATAGGAAATGCCATTTGAGCAAAGAAGGTGGGCCTTGGATAATGCTAAAGCTTCCCGCAAACTGGTGAGATAGGGAAATGGCTGAAAACCCCAAGAACTGTAGATAGCTGTGCTATAGAAAGTGTGCTCCTACTGCATCTGCACATCATTTGGTAGCTGCACAGTGGCAGATAGGAAGGCGCTCCAAAGGGTCACCACTTCTGCATAGCAAATCTTTCTCTATGTCGGGAAGAACTTCATAAGTCCCGCAGCCTTAAGAAAGCTCAGACCATTCTTGGGGATCCATTTCACCCAGAATATCCTTTTTTTCCATTACTGTCATCTGGCATACAGAGACTTAAGATCTACAGAGACACTCACTGGAACACCTCAGCAAGTGAGAGTCCAAAAGTGGCAGGCTCAAACCCAGAACCTCAATCAATGGCTGATACCAAATGAGAAACTCCCCCCTGGGCACACAGAAAACTGGGCAACTTGGAAGGCACTGAACAAACTGTGTTCTGGCACCACAAGATGCAGAGCCAACCTCAAAAAATGGGGCTACCAAGTGGAATCCTCGACATGCGAGTGCGGAGACGAGCAAACCACTGACCACCTGCTGCATTGCAACTTGAGCCCTGCCACATGCACAATGGAGGACCTTCTTGCAGCAACACCAGAGGCACTCCAAGTGGCCAGATACTGGTCAAAGGACATTTAATCAACTACCAAACTCACAAATTTTGTATTTTGTCTGTTTGTTTGCTTTGTTCTGTTAGAAATGTAATATAATTGACTGGTTGCCCTGACATGACAAATAAAAAATCTGGCATACAGTACAGGGTGACAAGACAAGGACAAACAGACTGAGATATAGCTTTTACCCTAGAGCTGTGACTATGTTGAACTCCATGGGTTCACACTGATGTGGCATTGGGGGCTGTACGGCGTTGGTTGGGGTGTGAAGGGATGGGTATGTTGTTTTGAGGGAAGGTATTTAATTTCGTTGGGGAATAGCATTATGACAATAAAGGTATTCTATTCTACTCTATATCAGAGAGAGAATTAATAAAGTCTGGTAGGTAAACAAGTTAAACATGAGCCAACAATGCGATGCGGTGGCAAAAAAAGCCATCGAGATTTTGACCTGCATCAATAGGAGTATAGTGTCTAGATCCAGGGAAGTCATGCTACCAATTCTCTATTATGCCTTGGTTAGACCACACCTGGAATACTGTGTCCAATTCAGGGCACCACAATTGAAGGGAAAATGATGACAAGTTTTAATGTGTCCAGAGGAGGGCAACTCAAATGATCAAGAGTCTGGAGAACAAGCCCTATGAGGATCGGCTTAAAGAGCTGGGCATGTTTAGCCTGAAGAAGAGAAAGCTGAGAGGAGATATGATAGCCATGTATAAATATGTAAGAGGAAGTCACAGGGAGGAGGGAGCGAACTTGTTTTCTGCTGCCCTAGAGAGTAGGACGCGGAGCAATGGCTTGCATACTACAAGAAAGGAGATTCCATCTGAACATGAGGAAGAACTTCCTGACTGTGAGAGCTGTTTAGCAGTGGAACTCTCTGCCCCGGAGTGTGGTGGAGGCTCCTTCTTTGGAAGCTTTTAAACAGAGGCTAGATGGCCATCTGTTGGGGGTGCTTTGAATGCAATATTCCTGCTTCTTGGCAGGGGGTTGGACTGGATGGCTTATGAGGTCTCTTCCAACTCTAACATTCTATTATTCTATGTAAGAATGGCAGACTTAAACTTGAAAGACTGGAGTCCCAGTAGTGTCTTGGATTGAGAACCACTTTAGTTTGTTTGCAAGGAACTCTGTCATGAAAACACTAGCCACCTGTGGAAAGATTGGCTGAATGTGACTACTAAATCTCATAAGACAGGTTCTCTGATACGGGAAAGCACAAGAAACTAAAACCTTCCCGTCCCCTTGCTTTGGGATGTGAGGTAGAGGCCAATCTTTACCTCCCACTATCTTGTGTTTTGTATTCCTAATCCAATGAAGGGAAAGGATGTGTGTCTGTATCCATGTGCTCCTTTATGTAACTCTTGTTGGTTTGGAAACCTTGACTGTGATCAAAGAATTACACTGATGGTGTAATTCTCTTCTATCTGGAGGATGGTTTTTCTTTACCCTGAGTGTGCAAAAGCAGCCAGGAGCAGCTGGCTTTGCCTCCCAGCCATAGAACATGGGAACTATCCCCTCTTCCCTTATTAATGGCCCCAAGAGATGGCCTTCTAAAACAGGGAGACACTGCCATATAATCCAGTTCAATACAGATAATTTGGATTTTATATGGTAATGTAGAAGGTCCCTTAGAGAGTGCATCAGAGCTTGACGAATTACCTTGCTGTTGTCCCATTCTTGGGTCTTTAGCTGGGTGTGAATGAGTTCATAGGAGGGCTCCACAGCATCCATGTCAGGTTTAGGATAGCCAGGGATGACGTTGTGCAGCTGAAACCCAAAGGTTAGCAACCAGCTGTTGACATCTGGAACAGGAAAACCCAAAAGGTTAGCAAATAAATTCAGGCAGATAGCTGAAAACACAGCTCAACATCTTGCATTTAGGTGCTGGCTACAGGAATCATAATACCTGTCAAAGTCTATACTACTACTACTACTACTACTACTAATAATAATAATGATAATAACAATAATAATGTGTTGTCAAAGGCTTTCATGGCTGGAATCACTGGGTTGCTGTAAGTATTTTGGGCTGTATGGCTATGTTGCAGAAGCATTCTCTCCTTATGTTTTGCCTGCATCTATGGCAGGCATCCTCAGAGATTGTTACTGCCATAGATGCAGGCGAAATGTCAGGAGAGAATACTTCTAGATCAGCGTTTCTCAACCTGGGGGTCAGGACCCCTGGAGGGGTCATGAGGGGGCATCAGAGGGGTCGCCAAAGACCATCAGAAAACGCAATATTTTCTGGGTCATGGGAGTTCTGTGTGGGAGGTTTGGCCCAATTCTATTGTTGGTGGGGTTCAGAATGCTCTGTAATTGTAGGTGAACTACAAATCCCAGCAACTACAACTCCCAAATGTCAAGATTCTATTTTCCCCAAACGCCACCAGTGTTCACATTTGGGCATATTGTGTAGAGTTTGGTCCAGATCCATCATTGTTTGAGTCCACAGTGGTCTCTGGATGTAGGTGAACTACAACTCCAAAACTCAAGGTCAATGCCCACCAAACCTTTCCAGTATTTTCTGTTGGTCATGGGAGTTCTGTGTGCCAAATTTGGTTCAATTCCATCATTGGTGGAGTTCAGGATGCTCTTTGATTGTAGATGAACTATAAATCCCAGCAACTACAACTCCCAAATGACAAGATTCCAGCGAGCTTAAAACAAGCTATTATAAAACTGCTGTTGAAGAAACCATCATTGGACCCCACTAAATTTGACAACTTTCGGCCTGTTTCCAATCTCCCCTTTTTGGGCAAAGTCATGGAAAGCGTGGTGGCCTCACAACTCCAGGTATTCTTGAGAGACACGGATTATCTGGATTCGGCACAGTCTGGTTTCAGACCGGGACATGGAACCGAGACGGTCTTGGTCGCCTTAGTGGATGATCTGCGCCGGGAGCTAGACAGGGGGAGTGTGTCCCTGTTGGTGCTCCTGGACCTCTCAGCGGCCTTCGATACCGTCGACCACGGTATCCTTCTGGGGTGCCTTGCGGAAATGGGTCTCGGGGGCACTGTTCTGCAGTGGCTCCGGTCATTTCTGGAGGGCCGCACCCAGAAGGTGTTATTGGGGGACACCTGTTCAACACCACAGCCTTTGACCTGTGGGGTTCCACAGGGCTCTATACTGTCCCCCATGCTGTTTAATATCTACATGAAGCCGCTGGGTGAGATCATCCGGAGTTTCGGGGTGCGGTGTCATCTGTACGCAGATGATGTCCAACTCTGTCACTCCTTTCCACCTGCTACTAAGGAGGCTGTCGAGGTCCTGAACCGGTGCCTGGCCGCTGTAATGGTCTGGATGAGGGCGAACACACTGAAATTAAATCCAGACAAGACAGAGGTACTCCTGGTCAGTCGCAAGGCCGAACAGGGTATAGGGTTACAGCCTGTGCTGGACGGGGTCGCACTCCCCTTGAAGGCACAGGTTCGCAGCTTGGGTGTGATCCTGGATTCATCGTTGAGCCTGGATCCCCAGGTTTCAGCGGTGACCAGGGGAGCATTTGCACAGCTTAGGCTCGTGCGCCAGCTGCGCCCGTACCTCGGGAAGTCTGACTTGGCCACGGTGGTACACGCTCTGGTCACATCCCGCCTTGACTACTGCAACGCTCTCTACGTGGGGCTGCCCTTGAAGACGGCCCAGAAGCTTCAGCTAGTCCAGCGCGCGGCAGCCATGTTACTAACAGGAGCGGGACGCAGGGAGCACACAACGCCCTTGTTGTTCCAGCTCCACTGGCTGCCGATCTGCTACCGGGCCCAATTCAAGGTGCTGGTATTGGCCTACAAAGCCCTAAACGGTTCCGGCCCAAAATACCTTTCTGACCGCATCTCGGCCTATGAGCCCACGAGGACCTTGAGATCGTCTGGGGAGGCCCTTCTCTCGATCCCGCCTGCCTCACAGGCACGTCTGGCGGGGACGAGAGATAGGGCCTTCTCGGTGGTGGCCCCCCGGCTGTGGAACACCCTCCCTGTAGACATCAGACAGGCGCCCTCCCTTATGTCATTCCGCAAGAGCCTACAGACATGGTTATTTGAGAAGGCGTTTAACTAAGTGCTACAACAATTGGCAATGACGACTGGAACGGAATACGGATTACGAGATTGGTTTATGATTCTACGATGAGACGGAGCGGATGATTTAGTGTAATTATATTATTGTGGTATTATTGATAGTTATGTTGATATTTCGTTGTGTTATTGCTTTATTGTAAACTGTTTTTATATGTTGTACACCGCCGTGAGTCGCCCTAGGGCTGAGAACGGCGGTCAACAAATGCAGTAAATAAATAAATAAATAAATAAAATCAATCCTCCCTTCCCCAATCCCACCAATATTCAAATTTGGGCGTATCAGGTATTTGTGCCCTGTTTGGTCCAGTGAATAAAAATACATCCTGCATATCAGATATTTACTTAATGATTCATAACAGTAGCAAAATTACAGTTGTGAAGTAGCAACAAAAATAACATTTATGGTTGGGGGTCACTGCAACATGAAGAACTGTATTAAGGGGTTGCGGCATTCAGAAGGTTGAGAACCACTGTTCTAGATCATGGCCATATAGTTACTTTATCACACATAGGGTTACAAGGGCTAGAGTCAGTCTGCAGGCTACTTATGTTAAATGCTGAGAAACTCGTCAAGTGGTTTTTGGGTTACGTTAATCCCACAAACAAACATTACATTTTTATTTATATAGATGTTTTAATTATGCTGTAATTGTATATCAAAACTGTTTTTTAAATGCACGTTTTCCCCTTTGGATTTCAGTATTTATTTACAAAGACATTTACAATCCTGCCTTTGAGCATCTCCTCCATAAGTACCCTCAAGGTTTATAACAATAACACAAAATACAGGAAATAAAAAAATGAGACCACAGAAACAAACAACAGATAGCACAATTAACAGACAAATTAAACCCACTGGAAACCTGGAAAATATATATTGTCTTCACTGCTCACAAAAGAAAAAAAAAACACTAGAAGGTATTAACTATGGTGAGCATAACAGTGATTGAAAGCAGAGATGGTTACACTGCAAAACCCAAGGCATAGTTATGCTGTTATGGATTTGGGTTAGTATCCCTGCATAATTTCCATTTAAGAAGGGAACAATCTACCTTGAGAAGATAAAGAGAATTACAAATTTCAGAGTAAAAGATATGTATGTTCAAAATGTTAGTTTTCATGCTGGTGGATATCTGTTTCAACCTTTATATCTCACCCAATATGCGCATTTTTAAAAGAACTGACGATTTCGAAAGCTTTTGTAGTAGTAGTACATTTTGAAAAGCTAAACCTGCATTTTAAATTCTGTCAGTTGTCTTGGGTCTTTTTGCCGAGGGAAAATGTGGAATATAACTCAATCAATCAAATAAATAGTATAAATAATGTAGGAAGGTTCCATGTTCTTCCAAAATGAAATGTGGGCCCAGAAACTAATTGGCAGCTAGTGAAACTGCTCCAGGAACAGAGTAGTATGTTCTCTTATATCCACTCCTGTTAGCAGCTTGGCTGCATGTCTTTGAACAATTTGGAGTTTCTGAACAGTTTTGAAAGGCAGCGCCATGTAGAGCACATTACAGTAATCCAGGTGTAACCAAAGCATGTACCTCCCACACCCAAGTGAGATTTATTTATTTATTATTTATTTAAAACACTTATATTCCGCCCTTCTCACCCCGAAGGGGACTCAGAGCGGAGCACAACATATACATGGCAAACATTCAATGCCTGGGTACAATACATAAACATTGAAAAACATTTCTCTAAATATTAAAATACACCATTTTAAATAACACAATTTAAAACCGTCCTAGCCATAGAGGGAGATGCGTTTGGACAGGTAATTTGGGCCAGGGCTGTTTAGGGCTTTATAGGCCAAAGCCAGCATTTTGAATTGTGCCCGGTAGCAAACTGGCAGCCAGTGGAGCTGGCGTAACATGGGAGAGTTGTATGCTCCCCCCAGTTATTAACCTGGCTGCCTCTCGTTGGACTATTTGAAGCTTCTGAGCAGTCTTCAAAGGCAACCCCATGTAGAGTCCGTTGCAGTAGTCTATCCTAGATGTAACGAGAGCGTGGACCACCGTGGCCAAGTCTGACTTCCCAAGGTATGGGCGCAGCTGGCGCACAAGTTTTAATTGTGCGAACGCTCCCCTGGCCACTGCTGCAACCTGGGATTCCAGGCTCAGTGATGAATCCAGGAGAACTCCCAAGCTGTGAACCTGTGCCTTCAAGGGGAGTGTGACCCCGTCCAGCACAGGTTGCAACCCTATACCCTGTTCGGCCTTGCGACTGACCAGGAGGACCTCTGTCTTGTCTGGATTCAACTTCAATTTGCTCGCCCTCATCCAGACCGTCACAGCGGCCAGGCACCGGTTCAGGACTTGGACAGCCTCCTTAGCATCAGGTGGAAATGAGTAATAGAGTTGGACATCATCTGCGTACAAGCTGGATTTTTCCAGGAATGGTCGCAGTTGGCGCACCAATTTAAGTTGTGCAAAGGCAATCATAGTACCTCCGTCACCTGGGCTTCCAGGTTTAAGGAAGAATCCAGAATCACCCCCAAACTGCAGACCTGGGCTTTCAGGGGGAGTGTAACCTTGTTCAGATCAGGTTGCAACACTATTCCTTGATCCATCCTACATGTGAGCAGTAGTACTTCCATCATATCTGGATTGAGTTTCCATTTGTTTACCCTCATCTAGCCCATCACTGACTCCAAGCACTGGTTGAGGCATAGCATGGCTTCCTTGGCTTTATCTGTCCCAGCGGTTTCATGCAGATGTTAAATAACATTG